TATACCGACATACCCATGCACATTTCAACAGTCGAGGAACAATATAATACAATTTAATATATAGTGACTGTTCCCTGCTTCAAAGAACATGTTGGTGCTTGCATAATTTGTGGAAAAAATTCGTTCCGCGGTCATTGCACATGCGGTTGACCATACACCTATGCGCACCTAAATAAACCCACATGGCCGTATGTCACCCATTCTCTCCTACTCTCAGTTATTTAGAATAGTTTGATGCCCAATTAAATATGTAAAATCTAAAGGCTACTTACGGAAAGGGAAAAATCACAAAAATGTAGAAAAAGAATATTTAATGAAAAATTAAGACAAGAAAAAATAATTTAAAAAAAAGTTGGTTAATAATATTAAATATACTTAGACATAAACCTTAGAAAATAAGAAGAAGAAAGAGTGGAATTTATGCATAGTTAATAATAGATTCTAAGAGTTATCATCGGTCTCATTGTGTCCATGAAAGGGTATTAGTAAAATACCGCTCCATAACGCTTCTTGTTTTCTCTTGCAACATTTCTACATCTCTTAAACAGTTGTATGCCAGAAACTGAACTGTGCAGAACTGTGCCCAACGACACCTGCAGCTGATTAAACGTCTGTAAGTAGACACACATATATACACATACACTCCGGTTTAGGAGAATAGCATCTAACACAGTGAGACATGCATTATTAACCATTTTTTAAATGAATTATTATTAACTACAATCACTTCAATTATGCCATTTAATTCATTTAATTAATTCATTCTTACATTATATTTTGATTATATTATTTTTATTTTTATTTTGATCATTATCTTGAATTCATGTCATAATTTGGTCCCACAGATACATACATGCATTAAAAATAAGTTTAGTGATTAGGGGTAAAATAATGGTAACCCCCAATATGAAGTCATACGAGTCAAAATTATAACGATATAACATGAATTGCTAATCTTATTTTTGAAGGGGGTTCCTAAGGCACTTGGCGCAGCGGCAGAAGGTTTTGGGTAAACATAATGGCATAATGTCAAGAGGGAAGAGCACTAACACCTTGCTCTTCACAGTCGGTAGTTGACCTTAAGTTCCGTCCGGGTTTTCCAGTCCCGATCCCAGTTTCCCGTAAATCTGTCTACGATATTGTTAGGTGATATTGTTCGCAGCACAAAACCCACCCCATTTTCCCTGAGCCTAGCCGGCCAACCCTTAAGTAGACAGAGAGTGCTGACGAGACGACACTGCTCGTGTCCGTTACAGTTTAATGAAGGCTAATACTTCATGAACTTCAATTAGTTAAGCCGGTATTTTCACAAGGCCCTGACGGAGTTCCCGGCTGTGTACTCAGGTACTGTGTCGAGTCTGTGTGCGGGCCTTTGCTTAAACTTTTCACTCTATCCATCCGTTCTTCTAGCTTTCCCCCATCTGGGAGGAATCCTTTATAATTTCTCTCCATAAAAAAGGTAGCAAGTCTGACGCTAAAAACTATATGTTTGGATACTATGGATTTCTAGCTACCTGTGTTCTAGGTTTCAAAGAGTCCTCTTCCAAAACTCCTTATCTTTACCTGTTATGGTTACTTCTGGAGTACCACAGGGTAGCCATTTAGGCCCCTTACTTTACACACTCTTTATTAATGACATGCCTTCTGTATTAACAAATTCTCGAGTACTTATGTATGCGGATGATGTTATGCTCTGTGTCCAGTATAAGGACATTTCATTTCACTCTCGGTTGCAATCAGATCTCAATATCTTTCAGTCATGGTGCTGTGCAAATATGTTACAACTTAATGCCTCGAAATGCAATGTAATGACTTTTTATCGCTCCAACCCCTTCCTGGCTCCTTACACCCTCTGCGGTAGTTCTCTTGAGAGAATTACATTGGATAATGATCTAGGTGTTAAACTAGACCCCAATTTAAAGTTTTCTGTACACATTTCTACCATGGTAAATAAAGCCATGGGTGTGCTTGGGTTTATAAAGAGGTGGTCAAAGGAATTTGATGATCCCTATATAATTAAGACTCTCTATATATCGCTTGTTCGTCCGATTTTAGGGTACGGCTCATGTGTATGGCGCCCTCAGTACAACATACATCAGGACCTTATTGAATCAGTACAGAAAAACTTTTTATTATTTGCCCTACGGGGCCTCAACTGGGATGCAACTGTGAGACTGCCATCCTACCGTAGTAGACTTCTTTTAATAAATATTCAATCCTTAGTTAGTCGTAGAAAAATGCTTGGTGTAATTTGTATGCACAACATGATCAAGGGGGATGTAGACAGCCCTGACTTGCTGATCCGCATAAACTTTACGATTCCCATTAGACCCACTAGAAACTTTATTCCTTTGTTCCTTCCACTATGTAGATCGAATTATGCCTCACACGAACCCTTTAGGGTTTTTTGTTCGGATTATAATTCCCTCTACCACATTATATCCTCAACTAACTCCCTTCCTCTTCTTAAATCTCTTATACTAGCCTACCTCTCCCGTAGTTAGTTTCATTTTAGTTTTGTCTTGTTTTTGATTTTGGTAATTGTTGCTTGCTTAGCTATACTTTCTCTAATTTAGTTGTGTTTAGTTCTAATTTTCTTCGAATATTAGCCTAACATCTATCTTGCCTGCATGCTCGCGACCGGTTCGGTTAATCGCGCCGCGCGTCATGCGGAGCGCCCCTCGGTCGGTTGGGCGGGAGGAGGGCTGCGTTCTGCTGGGTTCCGCGCGTAACAGGCTTTGGCTTGGTGTCGCAATGGCCACTTGATGGTGCAGTCATTGCATATCAACGTCCAGACAATACTTCGGAGCAGCAGCAAATACATAATTCTTAAGATCAGCTCGCCTTGTTTGTATTCATACTCTCTTTATAATCTCTTATACTAATAAGCTATTGTCCCGCTCATCGCTCCCTCTCACAGTGCTTAAAAGCGAACGCATATGTATGCACCCTTCGTACTGCTTATATTGCAGTGCTTTGCCCTTTCATTGCCCCAGTCTAAAATATTGTCTATCGCCGCGAATCTCCGAGCAGTCCAATTATTTCTTTATTTTCTTCGTTCAACGCGAACCCATTACTTAAATCGAGCTCTAAACCATTGTACATTTTAACAGACCAAATAGTAGTTCACGGCCACGCCCCCTTTAAATTGTATAAAATCGTCCAATAATAAACATATAAACGGCACTCAGTACTACATCTGTACTTTAGCGGTGTTTTGTCAAATTTTACATTTTTTCTTCATCTGTCATCTACATCTACAACACTTCTCACACCATTACGAACACGAAGCAGTGAATGAGAGAATGTGAAAAAAAACAAATATAAGCTGCGGGGCGGGGTGGGTTTAGCCACTGCATACATTTTTTTCATTCCCAATTCGGTGATCTGATAGATATGGCCATTCCCTACGGAATGGCGTTTTTAGTGTTCTTTTATCTTCAAAATTGTAGGTTTGTGAGGTTTTCGCCCTTTTGCGGGGGCGGAAGGGGGTGGGGCTCATTTTTTAAATACACTTGTAATAGTGTGACTCTAGCTTTAATGGTCTCTGAGATCCAGGAGCTCAACCAGACGGACAGACAGACATGGCTCAATCGACTCGGCTATTGATGCTGATCAGAATATAAGTAATATTTAAATATAAAACGGGAATTACAAAGTGTTATTATTTATTTATTGTATTTACCATATGAATGTAAAGAGTGATTAATGCTCGCAAGGCGAGACGTTACATGGTATCGCCACTTGGCTGATTATTAAAAACGAACTTAAGAACCCTAAACTTCCCAACTGTCCTTAGCTGCCGGCCACGGCGATCGTCGCTGCCCAGCAAAAGTGCTGACCGTGCGATCCCACGGGTGACGAAACTGCTCATTTTACAATATTGCAGAATTCGTCCAACCCAGTGGTTAATTCAGTTAACTCTTGTTAACTACTCCCTCCTTCAAGACTTGCCCGTCCTCCGTCAAGCCCATGCTCTTCAGCATCTGCTCTATAGCGACGGTGTTACCCTTTTGCTGCCTGCGCCGCATCCACCAGGAAAAGCCGATAAGTGCAACGCACACGGCTACGCCCACGACACGGTCAGGTGCTGCAGATTTTCCTCGTTCAGCTTGTGAAGATACGGCAGGCTCAACAACGTTTGGTGGCGGGTGACATTAATCCTCGCCGAGGTAGCTACGCCAGGTACTCTCTTTGTTGGATTGTTGAAGTTGGTGTATTTTGTCCCGTTGGGCGACTTGGTCAAAGGTTACCAAGTACGTTCCCGTAACATTTCGCTAGGGGCCGTCGTCGGTGGTCACAATGGCGGTGGCATCGTTGATTACGACGATACACTAATCTATCTCCAAGATAGGGGTCAGGTTATTCGTCTGGGTGTCGCAGTGGGCCACAGCGCCAAAATGCAGTTCTTGGGCGCAGCTACGTACCTCCTTACAGACGGCTAATGATGGGGGCCCCTTGCATGATGAGACAGCGATGATCTTGCTGTCGCACTCTGCTATAATGTCCTCTGGTAGATGGATCGTTACACCCTTGCGTGCGACTGTTGAAGATGTTTATTTTCTTAGGTTCTTAGCTTAGGTCTAGGCATTTCAATTACAAAGATAATTAATTCGTTATTCACTAGTGCCCTCACGTTAGCAGCGCCCAAAAGTTGGGTTACACTGATATCGGTGGAACCTTTCTTCAAAATCGCCTCTAAATCATTGCTCTCGATGATAGCTGGATTCACGATATTTATTTTAGCCAGCGTAGTGGCGATCATTAAGTTCTGCAATTCGAGCGTCACTTTGTAACGGACACGGGAAGTGTCGTCTCGTCAGCACTCTCTGTCTACTAAAAGTTTGCCGGCTAGGCTCAGGGAAAATGGGGTGGGTGTTGTGCTGCGTAAACGAACTCCGTCACCTAACAAAATCGTAGACAGATTTACGGGACTGGGATCGGAATTACAAACCCGGACGGAACTTAAGGTCCACTACCTACTGTGAAGAGCAAGGTGGTTGTGCTCTTCCCTCTTGACCCACCCTCCATGTAGAATAACATAAGAATATGCCATTATGGTTCTACCCAAGACCTGCCGCTGCTGCCTANTTTTACCCCTCCAAAAGCTGTGTATGAGAGAGCTAAGAAGGTTCTCGAAGGGCTAGCCGTAAGCTATGTTTGCAGAGAGAAAAGCTCACATGTGAACGGTGCTCGCACATGCAATTTCGAAAGAGAGAGCTTTTCAAGATAACAGCTTCTGATCTTGCATGTGGGCTCTCGCTGGAATGCGTACAGTGGGGGAGGTTCAATATTTTCTTGATAAAATTAGAAGACTGTTCCCCAAAAAAAAACAGACATTCTAACCTTTTGTTTTTGGTCTGCAACCTTCACACCCCCCCGCCACATTTTATCTTAGGGTTTTGACCAAAGATAAAACTGAAACAACAACAAGGAAGGGTGCAGACTTTTGTCTCTAGCTACCAAATATCCTTAATGTACAATTTCCCCAGCTCTTTACCGTTCAAGTCTTCCAGTAGATAAATCAGTTGGCCACATTTCTGCTTTACGCGAGCCTTCACTCCAACTGGAGCTAGTTTAGCGTTAACGTTATTGGACGCTCTCTTTATTACTTCTTGACCTACCCAAACGAACGAGGCTTGGATCTCAGGTCGTAAGTGCGTTGATTTCTCTTGTAAGCTTTTGTCAGGTGTTTCTCGATGTTTGAGCGAATCTTCTGAAATTCGTCAGCTCTTGACAATTTTCCCTCGCCCTCGTTGAGTAATTCGACTTCTCGCAACATTTTGTAATCTTGGCCATGTGAAATCATGTGCTGACCAAAGACCACGAAATATGGTGCCATGCCAACTGATTGGTGTATTGATTTTCTCAACGAACAGTTTATGCTACTAAGGAACACATCCCATTAACGATGGTCAGTACGAACGTACGCTCTGAGCGCGGCATTAATCGATCGGTTAACCCTTTCCGCGGCATTTTCCCCACTCTGTAAATTCGATTGAGATTGTGAACGCAACGGTAACGAACACAGCTGCCTACAAATCGGGCATGTCTCATTGGATGTCAACCAATCCGATAAACACGATCTGTGGTATTTGTGTTTGCAATGGGTTTCTACAATGTCGGTGTCCTGGCTAGTATCATTGCATATAGTTCAGTGTACGACTACCTCGCCGAGAAAAACATTTATATTGTCAATTATTCGCCTTACCGCCATTGTAACAAATTATGATTAAGGAAAAACGATATAAGTTATATAACGATATGGTCTTTAAGACCAGAAAGATTTTTTTTTTTTTTTATTCTTAATTCGAAAATATGGGCAATGATTGGGAGGGTCTCCTACCAGGCACCAGCACAGCAGAAGGAATGTCTTCGGTTGTTATAACCTTAAGTCCGTAAGCAGAAAGAAAGAAAAGAAAATTTGGTTGATGATCCTTTCGAGAAAAGGAGGAACAGGACCGAATTCTCCAGTCTGAACAAGTCTCAACTAATCTCGAGAGAATAAAGGTCATTCATCTTCGCTACTAGGTATAGAACCAATTTACTCAGAACTATCGTTCCTAGTATCCTGATGAAATGATATAATGAAGTCTACTGTGATCTTCTTCTATGCAATATATCCACTGGTCTGGGTCCGACAATGATCAGATTCCCAGCGGTTCCGAGCTGGATATATAACACAAAAACTGAACTACTTTAAAATTTGGATCAATATTGGGTTGCGGAAGGGATTGGGGAAGGTTATTGGGGAAAACGGACCATTCGGGCCCCACGTTGGGCGCCATTTATTATGTAACGGACACGGGAAGTGTCGTCTCGTCAGCACTCTCTGTCTACTAAAAGTTTGCCGGCTAGGCTCAGGGAAAATGGGGTGGGTGGTGTGCTGCGAAAACGAACTCCGTCACCTAACAAAATCGTAGACAGATTTACGGGAACTGGGATCGGAATTACAAACCCGGACGGAACTTAAGGTCCACTACCTACTGTGAAGAGCAAGGTGGATGTGCTCTTCCCTCTTGACCCACCCTCCATGTAGAATAACATAAGAATATGCCATTATGGTTCTACCCAAAACCTGCCGCTGCTGCCTATGTGCCTTAGGAACCCCTCCCAAAAATCAGATTAGAAATTCATGTTAAATCGTTATAATTTTACTTTGACTTGTATGACTTCAGGTTGTTTGTAACCCCCATTATTTCTACCCTAACCCTTAAAACTATTTTTACTGCATGTGTATTATATATGTGGGACTAATTTAATACATAGGAATTCAAGAGAATGATCAAATATGAATAAAAATAATATAATCAAAATATAAAGTAAGAATTAATTAATTAAATGAATTAAATGGCATAATTGTAGTGATTATAGTTAATAATAATTCATTTTATATATGGTTAAGCATGCATGTCTCACTGTGTAGACGCTATTCTCCTGACCCGGAGTGTATGTGTGTATATGTGTGTCTACTTACAGACTTTTAAACAGCTGTTGGTGTCGTTGGGCCCAATTTCACGTTCTAACTGTTAAAGAAATGTAGAAATATGCAAAATAACAAGAAGCGTTATGAAGAGGTATTTTACCAATACCCTTCCATGGACACAATGAGACCGATNCCGTCACCTAACAAAATCGTAGACAGATTTACGGGAACTGGGATCGGAATTACAAACCCGGACGGAACTTAAGGTCCACTACCTACTGTGAAGAGCAAGGTGGATGTGCTCTTCCCTCTTGACCCACCCTCCATGTAGAATAACATAAGAATATGCCATTATGGTTCTACCCAAAACCTGCCGCTGCTGCCTATGTGCCTTAGGAACCCCTCCCAAAAATCAGATTAGAAATTCATGTTAAATCGTTATAATTTTACTTTGACTTGTATGACTTCAGGTTGTTTGTAACCCCCATTATTTCTACCCTAACCCTTAAAACTATTTCTACTGCATGTGTATATATATGTGGGACTAATTTAATACATAGGAATTCAAGAGAATGATCAAATATGAATAAAAATAATATAATCAAAATATAAAGTAAGAATTAATTAATTAAATGAATTAAATGGCATAATTGTAGTGATTATAGTTAATAATAATTCATTTTATATATGGTTAAGCATGCATGTCTCACTGTGTAGACGCTATTCTCCTGACCCGGAGTGTATGTGTGTATATGTGTGTCTACTTACAGACTTTTAAACAGCTGTTGGTGTCGTTGGGCCCAATTTCACGTTCTAACTGTTAAAGAAATGTAGAAATATGCAAAATAACAAGAAGCGTTATGAAGAGGTATTTTACCAATACCCTTCCATGGACACAATGAGACCGATGATGCACCCTTTTAGAATCTATTATTAACTACGCATAAATTTCATGTTTTTCTTCTTCTATTTCTAAGTTAATGTCTAGGAATATTTAATATTATTGAACAATTTTCTTTTCTATTTTTTTTTTCTTCTATTCATAATTTTTCATTAAGTTTTCTTTTCTAGATTTTTGTGATTTACTTTTCTTCCCTTAAGTGGCTTTTAGAATGTCGGCATCGAACAATTTTAATAACCTGAGAGAAGGAGAGAATAGGTGACATACGGTCAGGTGGGTCTATTTAAGTGCGCATAGGTGTATGGTCAGCCGCAAGGGCAATGACCGCTGAGCTAATTTTTCCACACCCTACATATGCAAGCACCAACAATTCTTTACACAAGGCGCGGTGATATAATATAATAGATGGTTTTATAGTTGCGCGTGAGATATATGTATATAAACAACTCGGTCCCGATCGCCAAGTCCATCCGTTTTTTCGCCTGCAGGCAAGGTCCGGTGGCACCAAAAAGAGGGACGGATGATCGTGGTACTGGAGCGGACCCCCCCTCCGAGACCGAGGGTCAGGCCAGGTCAGCAATTTCCTGCCACACGTGGATCATAACCTATGTACAGTACATACATGGAATTATGTAATAAGGTCACTTTTTCATTTTTTTCTTGGCGTACCTTATCCAGGGGTTGGTTTTTAAGTTTTCGTCTTTTCAGCCACAACACTTTTATATTGGTTTTTATTTGGTTTATGTTCCCTTTTATGGTTTTGCAAAATTTTCACCACGTTTTTTTTTTTTGTTTTTGTATATTTTCTACCCGCACATCAATTAAGTCTTCCAACCCTGAATGCAATTTTTGTTCTGTGCAGCATGCACTTAGCCTAACTATTTTACCCCTCCAAAAGCTGTGTATGAGAGAGCTAAGAAGGTTCTCGAAGGGCTAGCCGTAAGCTATGTTTGCAGAGAGAAAAGCTCACATGTGAACGGTGCTCGCACATGCAATTTCGAAAGAGAGAGCTTTTCAAGATAACAGCTTTTGATCTTGCATGTGGGCTCTCGCTAGAATGCGTACAGTGCGGGAGGTTCAATATTTTCTTGATAAAATTAGAAGACTGTTCCCCAAAAAAAAACAGACATTCTAACCTTTTGTTTTTGGTCTGCAACCTTCACAACTTTATCAGACTTTTTGACCCCATTTTTATATTGACGCCAGCTTTCGTTAGCGTGTCGAGCCCTATGATATCATCAAATGTTGACAGCTCCGGCACGATAAAGAACGTGCATTTAATGCCGAATATGGTTAGGAAACATTTTTGCTCTACTTTATTGAAGCCGTACAACAAATGGGGCCTCTACAGGGACAATTCCCTTAAGTTCTTTTAGTGGTTTGATATAATTTTTTGCGGCCCCAGTGTCTATTAAAAGGTTTAGCGTTCTCCCTGCTACTGTTCGTCTGACGAACGGGAGCAGGGACTCTACCCTTAAAAATTGACAGTATCACTGTCGTATCCTGCACTATTGTCCTCATAAATCTCCGCCACTGCTTCCGATGCTAACTGTTCGTATTGTTGTTCGTCAACCTGAGAGAGGTGATTGACCCTCTGCCTCCGCTGGTCGGAGAATCTCTGGGATTCAGCCGGCCTTTTATAGGCACCCTGTTGGTGCCCGTTATTAGGGTTTGCAGTAGCCGGTAGGCCTGGGTTGTGCCCCTGTTGCTTTTGAAAGGCAGTTGGCTGACGGAATGTTGAGGAAGATGGATCAACATCCATCATCTCTATTTTGTCTTGGCTACGGATACCGCCTGTTTGATGGTTCCCCTGATTGTTCGTGTAAAACGGGTTCTTGATTGTCTCTTATAGTGATCGGGCTCATTCTGTACGCCCTGTCTGGGCCCGTTGAATTCCGGCAGCGTTTTTACCGCATCCAAAACTTCTTCGCAACTCACCGTTCGGTCCAAGGTGACCGCTTCGTAGACCTTGGCCTCGGCGGCCTGAACTCTTGCAGCCTGCAGCTGGTCAGTTACCTCCTGCAAACGCCGATTAAAGTCAGCTTTTTCTATTGCTGGCGCAGAGCTGACCGCTGCCTCTATAACGGCTTTGATCTGATCAGGGTCAATTTTTATACTCTTCCTACGGGTTCTATTTCAAGGTGTAAACTGAGTCCACCGAACAATCTCTCTAAATCAAAAATGGGCATAAACAGATTTTTTCTCGGTTGCCCCCTAGCGTGTCGTTTGTCTTTGTCGTGGGTCAGATCCAGCTCTGCCGGGCCGTTGTTGGTGTTTATTTTCTTTAGGAATCAAATTCAAGTTCCCTCTAACACAGATCTCGTTGTTGTTGCCCGCCGACAAGAATGTATTTATGGTGCGGTGTTATGTTTCTTACTTGCGCCTAGAGCAAAAAAAAAAAAACTTGAGAACAGCCGAATATTTTTGAATATAAATAAGTTTTATCTGTTTGGTTTTGCTTTTACTTTTTGGGCGATAATTGAAGAAAAGGTTCACTTACATGTTCCTCTTTTATTCTCCATGCTCTATGCTCTGCGTTGTCCACCCCTCTCTTCTATCGTCGCCGCTGCCCAAAGCCGTCCGCTCTGGTGTAACAGTTTGGGATTGATTAAATGCCTTTTATTTCCACTCTAGGCCACGAGCTTTTGAGTGCAACTCTTGTG